TTCTACTATACAATGCATATTTTGCACGTGCGTCGTGCTGCGTCGGCCGCCGGAGTGTGAAATTTTAATCGTTATTGGCGTACGCGTGGGTCAGTCTGAATGCGGTATGCTTCTGTTTATTTGAATGTGATACTTTGTTTCTGATTTTATTTTATTACTAGCGACATACCGTAGCTTTGCTCGGGAACCAGCTTTTGTAAATTTATATTGCTAATAGTAGTCTACATGTCCAGGTACTTACTGTCTGTGAAGTATATTTTTACTAAATTCGTCCAGCTGTTTAGTAAGCGTTAAGGAGTAATAACATACAACAAACATACACCTATACAGGCTTTCGAATTTATATTGCAGGATATTCTAATCTACAAATCGGTAATCTTAATAAAAAACAAAGGGCGCTATCTAAAACACAATTTTAATGAAATTGCACCTGTAAGCTATGATTTCCTTAAACAACGTTTTCTTTCCACCCCTATAAACTAAGAGGTGGGGAGCATCCCCCTTACTTTCCACCCTCACCTAGGGTGTTTTATACTTTACAGCACCCATAAAAACGTCATAAGCCCGCGATTCGTGTGCGGTTGTGATAAGAATTTATTTGAATTAGACATTGGTGTTTTTAAGTTATTAGCATTTAGTGACAGACAGTGCATGTTTCGTAGGCATAGAGTGATTTTAGCCCTGCTGAGTTTCTATCGTCAGCTCTTCTCGGGACCATTTTATTCCGAACTGGCGGTATACCTAGTCATGACGCTCAATAAAGGATTGCAATAATTTAATACTGAATTAAAATATTTGAATTTAATGAAAGGGAGAAAGAGGATCGTGGGATCGAGGCATAGATAACACTGGCTTCTCTAACAAAACGAATGAATGCTGCCACTTTACATCTATATTCTGTGGAAAAACATCCCTGGTCGAGCTGTTCATGAAAACGTCAGCAAGGACGTGGAGTAGAATTTTATTTTAAGTTTTTTAAGTTAAAATTATGAATGAAAAAAAAATTGAATTCATAATGTTATTACAGCAAAGTACTATCAATGTAAAAAAGTACTTGTATCGTAATACTGAAGTGTCGAAAAGTAATTTAAAGGAGCTTTCTAGTTTATTTCTAAGACCGTATACACGAGACACTATTAATAACATAATTAAAAAATTAAATCCTCTGTAAGCAAAAAGGTTTTTATGCGAGTGAATGGGGAACGTATTTAATTAACATATAAAATGTAGTTTGCTGCTGATGGTACGCTAAAGACTCGAATACGTTATGCAGGTCTCACACGCACTGAACAACTGTAGGTACCCATTTTTTACAGCTTAAGTTTTTTTTTAATTTGGATTTTTAATCTTTTTTTTCTTAATGAATTATATTTAATTTGTGTACATATTATTATTAATTTTACAAATCTTTTACAATTGGTTAGATTTTAAGTTGTTAAAACATCCACCCAATGCATTTGATAATACTTACATGTTATTTTATTAATAAGGAAGTTCGAAAGAAACATTCTACATTATTATGAAATAATATTTGCTTATAAACAAGGAGTCTATAAACCTCTTTTCATTATACAAATAGCACTATTTTGTGATAAGTGCGCGCCAACCCTTATATTTTGTGCTAGGAAAGTGTAATTTATTTTAGTATACCTATGTTTCATGCCGGTCGTTCACAATACAAGTTCTACAAAATGTACATTTTTTGTTTGTTGGTTTGTTTGGTTTGGAATTTAAAATACCTAAATAAAAATTAATCATTTTGATTATACAATTTTTACGTGGTTTTCTTAGACTTAAAAAAAAAATGAATAAGTACAGGACTTATCCAATTTTTTATCTGTAGGTAATCCATACGTATATTTAATGTATTTATTTATTTTGGTTTGTTATTTTTGAAAATTCTTTCACTAATAGCAAGCTTCATTATACTGCCGAGTGCTTTAGGCTATTGTCATTCCGATAAATGTGCATTCATTTTCAGAAATCCTACTAAAAATAATCCTACTAATAACTGTAAAAAAAGTCAGGAAATAACGGGACCGACGTATAGAGAAAACAGTTTATAATAATAAAAAAATGCTTGGCAAAAATAAAAACCTTTATAAGCATTACAAAAAAGTTCACGATTCTATAAATCTATGTAATATATACTCGTAAGTATGTGATTTGTGAACTTTTAATTTAAAATGTAGTTCGACAGCTGAATCCGTTAACATCAAGTATGAAGCGCGGATTCAGCATTGAGGCACATAAAAGTACTTACAGAATCACTACATAGTATAAAATAAAGTAGCTTTCTCTGTCCCTATATCCCTATATATGCTTAAATCTTTAAAACTACGCATTGGATTTTGATGCGGTTTTTTTAATAGATAGAGTGATTAAAGAGGAAGGTTTAAGTATATAATTTGTTAAGTTTTTGTATACATTGGCTAAAATATAACGATATTTGTCGGAGGTGTCGGAAAAAATAAGACGTCTGGGAGCTTTCAACGAAAACGCTGCCTAAACCCTTTGAGATATAACAAAATAATGTATAGTGGAATTGTGTATCTTACATAGGTCTACAGAAAAGTCCGCGATGGCATACGACTATCTCTTAAGGATAACATACTATATCCATTTCAATTTAAAACGTACCTAGGGACGAACCCGAGCGAAGCGAGGGTGAGTCGCTGGTACTACATAAAACTATAAGCGAACTAAAATATAAAATTGAGATAAAACGTGTTAAGCTCAAACTACGTATATAAGGTTATAGTAGGTACGTATGTATTTATGTACGTACAGTTATAATTCATTGCAGTTGCAAAGAAATACTCCGGCTCTACAAACTGATGTACCGCAGTACTACGAGGAGGGCAAACAAGCTAATTATAATTTATGTTTTGCATGTTTTGTGTACTTTATGAATGGTTTTTTTTTTTGAATGATGAGATAAAGCTAAGTTGCACGATATTTTTATGACGGACAACGTTGAAATTTTAATTAAAAAAGGGTGTAAGTTGAAATTATGAATGTCTGTATGTGTATTATTTTTCCTTTTCAAGAGATTAACTTGTCTCAAGTTTTTATTTTATTCATACATCTTTACATCTAAGTCCTAGAAATATACATACAGTGTTACATTGTCTTGGGATAATAATGTTATTGACTTTCTACAAGTCTTTATTTCTAGATAACAGATTTGTGTTTATACTTCAATGTCATATTTCCGTATATTTGTCCCATTTTGCATATTACTTCTTTTTTTTAACGTTGCGAATCGTTCTTGGGAAGGCTTCTTTTTATTATGGACTATGTGAGAGTTCAAATCAATACTAATATTATAAATGTGAAAGTGTGTTTTTTTGTTTGTTTGTTTGTCCTTCTTTCACGTCGAAACCGAGTGACCGACTGGCGTAATTTTTTGTGTGAAGATAGTTGGAGGGCTGGAAAGTAATATAGGCTACTTTTTACTGCGAGAGATTATTTAATTCCCACTAGAAAACACGTTATATAATAAAATTTAAAAAAAAATGAACATAATTACTTGAAACTTGGTATTAATGCTCTTCGATAAACTAAAGTAAATACGTGTTTTAGCATTTTTTGAAATTAATCCTATAAGGGAAAATAGGAGATAAAAGAGTGAATGAAACTCCCTTTCTAGAGATTTTTTTGTAGTTTTAGCGAAGCCGCGAGTTCTGCTAGTAATTAATAAATCAATCAGTCCGACAGACATACACACTTTTGAATTTATTATATTGATAACGATTTTGCTTAGGCCATATTATTAAAATGAAAAGTAAATAAATAAAATCCTGCCCAAAGTTTGTGATCTTTGAGTTCTTATAAAAATCCTATAAATATAAGTACTTTCAGTTTTTACCGAATTTCCCAATTAACTAGGTAACTTTTCTAATTTACTTTTCCCATAAAATCCTTATTCGGACTATTACGCACATTTCACGCACGCTCACCCTCGCATCGCTCGGGTTCGTCTCTAGTTTTGTTTTAACGGTTAGTACAGAACTGATATTATAATTCTTCCTCAATAAACGGGATATCTAATGAAAAAGAATTTTTCAAATCGTATTAGTAATTCCTGAGATTAGCGCTTTGAAACAAGTAAACTCTGCCTCTTTATAATATTAGTATAGATTAAGTTAATATGTAAGTGGCAAAATATATATAAGCAGAGTAACAGAGTCTATGCAAGAGTTACGAATAGGTTGATGAGTGTCGGTGGAACAAAGTTTTTTGTATTTTTATAACTATATAGAGGAAATAGCATCTTTTGGTAAATTTTATAATTAATAGTAACGCGTGTTACTCCAGGACATAGTATATTTGTTTATTAAAATTCGACTAAAATCATCTATCCGCTTTAATGCTAAGGGCACATATGTTTAAACATACCAACTTCGCATATATTATGGTAGTGTGATTATATATTAAATATTAATAATGATCGCCCACTGATCGACATTCGACCATAATCATAATTAATAATTTGAGGAAAACAAACTTTTTTTATTGATAACAGTAACACTAAGGCTGGCCATACACGAATGGCTCGAGCAGTTAGCCAGTGATCATCAAACTCATCAATAGCTACTAAAAAATAAAAAGAAAAAAATCGGCTAACACAAAGAGTAGAAAAAGGTTCTATTTTTTTATCTATTTATAAAAGAGTTGCAGCAGAAATATTATATACTTAATTAATAACTGGGCGGTTTTTAATTGAACAATTAGTGCCATGGGGATATGAATTAAGAATTTGATTACGTCATTATAATTTGAGGGCTTACAAATGTTTTGGGGTAGATGTTGAGGGGAATTATGGAGGCAGTATAAATCACTATGACAGTTATGTTTGTGCAAGTTGTGTTTATAGTGTAAATAGGACTTTGTTCATATTTTTGTTTAGAATAGAGACGCAGGTGTTAAATTCGAGGTGTCTTTTTTTATTTTGATTCTGTTTATTTAGTTTGTTTGAATATCTGTAGAGCATTTTATTGAAATGAATGCATGTTGTATTTTAAAGATAATACGATGACAATGCGGAGAAGCCTAAGTGCTAATAAATACTTTTCGCTCACCTTAGTGTCCACATCATGAAAAGGCACAGCGAACCATGGTTTTCCTGTCAAGCTCCTTCTAAAACCAGCTTCCCTTTCCACTGGACCCTCAGGGGTTCCAACATGGGCCCACAGTACAACCTCCACGACTTTTAACCTTGGGTGCACTCGCTTATACACCTCCTCCAAGCGGACCCCAAAATCGTCACTAGTATCACTTATATTTGCGAAAGAGAAGTAAATACCACACACAGCACCCTCTCCGTCCTCAACGCAGTCGGTTAAAGCCTCCAAAGTTGGTATGTTCTCAAATTTCCCATTCTGAGTCCCCGGTGCATCGCATTTCACAAGGACACGACCGAAAAGTTTTTCGCGCCAATCCATTTTTGTTTTTTTTTTAATTCCAAACACGTCTTACATTTTTTATACAGCCTGTTTGTTTATTTTCTGTCTTCACCGCGACTGGTTTGGATGTTATTTGTTTGGTTTAACACTAGCGTGTTTTAAATATGTAAGTAATTATTAGTTTACAAAGAAGCTTTAACCGTCAACCAAAACAAGGAATTTAATTATTATTTTAAATAAGTTAATCTAAACTACATCTGTTTTAAATTAATAATATATTGCTTTGACGGTTAAACCTTAGAGTATCACTATATAATTACTATATTATAAAACAAAATTGCCATTAAAACTGTCTGTCTGTCTGTCAAAAGTAACACTAACTAATTGGATATTGATGTAAAACACACTAACTACTAATTTGATTAATAATTATAAAAATATTATTTATAATAATAACTTGAATAGTACGCGGCAAAATAAGTTTTATTTTTAGATCGAGCAACACGCGGAGCAACGCCCGAACGCCCTCGTAAACAAAGACCGACTGGAGGTGGGAGGGCAAACGAGGGAACCCTCCGTCATAGAGCAACGAAGTGAGACAAATACATTTTTGAATTATATTTTATAGCTTTGATAATATTATATTAAAATTTGTATTATTATGGTAAATTTTGATATGATTGAATTTAGCAAGATTAAATGTAAAATACATTATGTATAATGATAATTATTATTAATATAGTTTCACTATAGTAACTATTTTTTTAAATTTTTAATATTGTTCTAAATGTGTTAAAGCTGAAAAAGAAAAAAAAAACAAATTTTAAAAGTATTTCAATATAAATACGTTTTAACGTTTAGTAAAGATTTCTCAAAGATGAGATATTTTTCCACAGTAAAAAGTATCCTATATGTTAACCCGGATAGCCAGCTAGCTATCATCATACCAAATTTCATCAAAATCACTCCAGTGGTTTTTCCGTGATGCGGTCACAGACAGACAGATAGACAAACATTTTAAAAACTATAGATTCGGCCTCTGTATGGATAACAATGTCTATTTAAATAACATTTTCTAAAAAAAATATTTACTGTACAGATTCGGCTCAGTTACAATTTTATTACCTGTAAGTATAGATTAAATATTTAATATACGAAAAACCTGCATATTTTACCTGCCTATATTAAATTATATATATTTTTAGTAAATAACTATAAAATAATGTCTGCTCAAAACTTAGCCTATGTAGGCATTATATTTTGATAAACACATAAGTTAGTCTATGGTCGTCTCTCATATCTCACGTAGAGTTTAGATTGCAAAAGGCTTGAATTAATTCAGCGAGTCGAAACAATCCGCTGAGGGCAACGCAAGGGCAAAAAGGTTTAGCTTTTTCATACTTCATACCTCGATACGTATTTACACCTATGCATAATGTTAAATGTTATAACGCTTGCGAATTTAAAATTTATATTTACACGTGTTATGTTAATTTTATATTACATGCAGTTTATTATGATATTTTTTTATTATATCTTTAGTTTATCTGAAACGTTGAATAATATGATTATGAGATGCACTGTGATTTTGCGGTTTAAAAAGAAGAAGTTAAATAGGTGTTAGGTACAGTTATATGTATACGTAAATGTGAATAATTTAAATGTAAAACCACAAACTTAATTTTTGATTATAATGGCCACAGGTCACTATTTTAACTTTAACCAGCTCACTGAAATAATGCGATGTAAATAGAAACTATAAACAATAAAAATATATATGTATACAGTTGAATTGAGAACCTTCTCCTTTTTTGTAGGCGGTTAAAAACGTTGAAAGTAATGCTTAGTACCTACCTACGCATATAAATAAGGATTTTTAGTCTTCACATACATTTTATTTATTTACATAATTATATTGACACATATGTATCATTTTTTATGGAGAAAGTATTAATTTATCCATTTTCTGTACATAATTTGTTGCTTGATTTAACCAAATTGAGCGACAGTAACGCACGGCTGGGTACCTACAGTACAATTCATCTACGCGGTAGGTGATAAGTATAGTGTTACTGCACAGTGTGTGTACCAACATAAGTGCACTATCTATTCCTTTCACTCTCGTATTCCGGTGAGGTGACAATTCGACACAACAGGTGGTGTACCAGTCTTAATTGCAGGCTACTTCTGAGAATATCTTGACAAAAAATCCAAACTCTATAATTTGCCTGACCTGCGATTCGAACCTACGATCTTTGGATGTGCAGCTGTACATGCTAACTACTAAACCAATAAGAAAATCACGTATTCATTAATTAATGAAATAAATCACGTACACACAATATTATATTTAATTGTTGCGTTTTTTTGACAAACCGGTTCTCATAGAGTTAAAAAAGCCTCGTCATATTTCTGCATTGTGTTTTCTATTTCAGTTAAAATATCTATCGAATTTTATTATAATTTTTTATATATGTATTTTTGGAATCAAAAGTACTTAGCTTATTTTTTCTTTACAAAAGATTTGCAAAGGTCATCACATTTCTGTATCACAAGAAGTTTGTTGAAGCGATTGAGTATGATTCATATGACAGATTTATGTGAAATCAATAGTTGCGCAGTGTAACCGTCTTCACGCCAGCGGCATTATAACTTTGTTTCTTTGTGTAGACGCAAATATTATATTATTAATTATATTTATACTTTAAATGGAGTATGAATTTTTAAGTATATAATATCATGGACTACATAATATATATTTTAAAGTACCTACTTATTTAATTTTGATGAACAAAGAAATGAAAAAAATGTGTTTTTAGTTTTCACAATACCTAGAAGAAATAACATATACATATATTTATCTAAAAATACTTCAATAACTATATATCGATGTAGGTATTGATATTTTTTCTCGTATAAATTATTCATAAGCACTCAGCTGCCAGTTAATTACTATTATTGTAATTCAATTCAATCTACGTGCTTAATTTTATATAATTTATTGTAATTTAATTGTTATATTTTACACGAAATTATTTTTGGTACATGTATCCAATATTGACATTTGAGTTTTTGACAGTTGATTGTTGACAGTGGATTTGAAATGTTTTGGTTTGATTGTTTAATGTATAATCATTAATCAATATGTAATGTCTTACCGGTTTACTCAAATAACAAAAAAACCATTACAGCAAATAAATATATAATTGGAAAATGTTATTTTTTATTATATAAACTATGATTACTGACACGATTGACTTATCTTCTGATGAAAGCTCTCAAAGTGATTATGTGTCTAGTTCAGCAGTTACAAATTATATCAACAAATATTCGGACGGTAATATTATCATTATTTTAAATTAATATAAAATTAATGATATAAGTCTATAAATTCTGTATAACGTATTTTCTCCATTCTAAGCGATATTGGTGAAGTAAATTTGTGCTAAGTGGCACTCCAATGAGCCACTGCAAAATAATTGAATTGAGATAAATCATAAAGATTTCAATGTTAAATTATAATTTGTATTATTCATAGGTTCAGATACAGGACCATCAACTAGTATAACAACTCATTACAATAAAAACCCATGTGAAGACCCTCCAATCACTGACAAGAAAAAGAGAGGTAAAAAGAAAGGTAATAAAACTAACCAAAATGTGATGATTTATATTTAAAATATCACTATACAATACTTTTTATTTACATTATGTTTTACTATAAAATATTTATAGAAAATGATAACAAGAAGAAGATATCTGCTGCAGAAAAACAGGAATTAAAGAAAAGACAGGCAGAAGAGAGGAGAGCTGCCAAAAATGCTAATAAAATATATAAACCTGGCGAGTGCATGAAGGTAGTATTATTTTGCTCAAAAAAGAATGATACTATAAATTATGATACTATTCATTTTCATTTAAATCCATTGAGCCTTCACATTGTGACAAAGACAAATAAACAAACACACACTTGATATTTTCTAATATATAATTTGTATAATTTTTAAAAATTCTAATCTAAATTTTTCAAAACCATCTCTACAGTCTGTTAATTAATTGATTTAATTCTATAATCAAAATTAATGATATGTCGCATTACATTCACATTGTTATGAAAACCTTTTTTTATACAAAAATTGTATCATTAGAATATTTCTTTTATTTACAGCACATGTGTATAGAAATGCATCCAGTTTTGCTTGAATCTTGGTTTTGTGCAGATGTTCAGAGGGAAGCAACTGCTAGTGGTGTCAAAATAAAACCATCATCTAGTATATGTGATACCTCTTTAGTTCTTTGGACGAGAAATGTAATGCCTACATTAACAAATAATGACGGATTTGTAAGTACCTAATAATAGTTATATTTTGATTGATTTCTTAAAAGGATGAGGTACTTAATTCTGGTGTGTCGTTTATTTCATATTTTTTTTGTATGTTACAGTTACACAATATTTATGTGAATTCTAGGCTAATATTCACATTTTCAAAAAGAAACTAAAAAAAATTGCTTTCTAAGCTTTTAACTTTTGTTTATTACAACCATGAATATTGAAATATAAAACAACTTTAAAAATCAATACTTATTTTCAGAATTGCATCCATTTATAATTGTTTTGTAATTTTATGTTAATAAGGTGAGATACATAATTATTAACTAAAGAAATATTATATATACATAAGACATTATATAATTTTCTTATATTATAAGTAAAACTTTTATTATTTCCAGGTACAACTGACACCATCAAAGGTAAAATGTAACCATGGTCTATATGTTTTTGCTGTCGAAAATGTGGAACAATTGGTTATCTCTCACAGTTTGTCCAAACATATTAAAGATGCAGCAGAGTTAGCGGGATGCAAACTTACTCTAGTGTTGTTTGGTGTTAAAGACTATTTTAAGTAAGTTTTAATATTATTCTAATTAGAAAAAAAATATATTTTTTTTGTTTTTTAAGTAACTTCTTATTAAAAAAACTATTTTTTGGTTCAGTAATTCTTATTGAGAAAAAAAACTATTTTTTTAATCTTTTAGTGTTTTTATTTTGATTTTTGTTTTTTTCATAAATATTTTTTTAATTTTGCAATGTTTTCTTTTTTTTTACAGAACATCTGGTCGCAAAACTTCGAAAAACCAGAGGCTTATGACAGAGATTGATTTAGAAAAAGCAATTACAGGTAATAGGAATGTAAGAATTTTAGAGATAATTTAATTTTATTTAAATGTCTTTCACGTATTTAGCAAATGTTTAATTATCGTGTTTCACCTTTCTCTAACATATTTAAGAAAAAAAACAATGAAATAAAAGAAAAGGTCTCCCGTGACCATGGATGCTGTAAAGCATCCAAAACGTCGGGAACCAAAAATCTAAATAAATCTGCGAAAAATTACGAAAAGATTGTTTTATTTTAAATGTCAAATATTAACATCCAACTAACAAAGTCTTTGTAATAAAAGAATTTGGTGCAATTATAATATTTTGAAAATAATTACTTTAGAGTAACTTTAAAGTTTTTAAACAAAAGTTCATTAAACGCATAACCTTCTTTTAGACTTCAGTCAGTTAAAAAAGCTATAGCTTAATCCCCTCACGTTGCCCAGTAGTGGGATGCGACTTAAAAAAATAGCTTAAAAAATATTATTAATTAAATACTAATTTTTTCTATGTTATTGACATTTATTATTAATTTATTGTTTTAGTCAAGCAATTCATTGTAAGTTGTGTTTTGCAGATTTACTAGTAAGTGCAGACTGTGACACTGTGATAGTGAATACACCCAACGAGCTGGCACTCACTATAGTCCAGTTCACCAAAGCGATAGCAGAGGAACCACATAAGTATGAGATTTAATTAATTCAATTATTAATATATTATATTTTCTGAAACAGTTTTAATATTCCACATATAATAAAAATAGGGGATAAAATAGTTTGGTAGTGGATAGTATGTCAGTTAAATACTTTCTCCATACAAAAATGCTGCTTCGTTGCTATATAAAAAAACAAGCAACAAATATATATATATATATATATATACATATATATTTATATATAAAATATATTATTTTTTCTATATGTATATATTTTAATTTTTAAACTACAATTGTAGTATCAGAATATGATATTCTAATGGATTCTAATATATGAATCATTTATTTAAAATCACTTATTTCAATTAAAGTCAGTTTACTTTTTGTAAGAGAGATATTATAGTGTATTTGAGAGTAAGTGTCACAAGCTAATAATAATTATTTTTTTTCAGGAGAGCGAAACGTATTCTTGACGAGCAAGCCGATTTCTATATGAGGGGTGAAAATAAGAAATGCGTGCCCATAGACAAAGATGGTATTTATTTTACTAATTGATTTAAAAAAAATTATACTATAATACTATAAAGATATTTTTTTGTATGTTTGCTTGTAAGGGATAAATTTAAAAACTACTGGACCAAATTTTAAAAATTCTTTCACCTATCAAAAGCTACATTATCAGTGAGAAACATGGGCCATGTTTTATTTTCAAACAAAATTAAAAGATCCTTACAAATATTGCAATAATGTAACCTAAGGAATCAAACATTTGTCTATAATAGTCATTAAATAGCGAGCTTAATATTTTTTTGTGGTAAAAAAGATATAAAACATCGTTGTAAAAAAAATTAGTAATTACTTTTAACATACTTTTTTAGGTCACGGTCTAAGCAAACTATGGCAACAGATGATAGCCATTCTGCCACTGTCGAGTCTAGAAACATCTAGAGCGATATGCGCTCGATATAAAACTCCTCTTGAATTATATGAAGTAAGCAAATTTTTTTCTAATTCCTCTAATCCGTATTAATATTTAATATTAAAAATGTGAAAGTTTGTGAGTATGGATTCACGCCAGAACGGCTGAACGGTTCTGAATGAAGTTTGGCACAGATATACATTATAGTCTGGAATAATACATAGGATACTTTTTATCCCAGAAAAATGTACGGTTCCCGTGGGATTAATATTATAAGGAAAAAATGTACGCGTCCGTTAAAGTTTCGCTTGTTATTGAATTGAATTGAAGCAGAAGGGTAATGTGTTAAAAAAAAGACAAGTACTTGAACTGATTATATTTGAACAAACGGACAGAGTTTCGGCTTATCAACTTAACAATGTTGTCAAAACTTGTCAAAATGAGCTTGCGGGGCATTATATAGCTTTACCCTCCACCGGAGGCATCCGGTAGCTGTAGTGGTGGCTTGGCATGGCTTGGATTGGCTGGTTCGATTGGCTCGCTATGATTGGCTGTGGCAGTGTAGAGTAACAAATTGTATAATCCTCGCCAAACTTTTAGGCAAAACTGGAAAAGTAAAAATAAAACCCAACATACTCTAAATTTCTAATTTAAATATATGTATTGTTTGTTATACTTAGGCTCTCCAATCACCTGATGGTGTGTCACAATTGGCCTCGATAGGGGTGTCTCGGGCTGCAGTGCCGGGGGCGAAGGCCCGTCGTGTCGGACCTGAGTTTGCTAGAAAGTTGCATGCCTTATTTACTGAAGACGATGGAAGCCTTTTATTAGACTGATGTTATTTGATTAATGTAAATAAAATATTGTTGATACATTTGTGGTGTTTTTATTTTCATAAATAATATCAAATAGACCGAATATGTACAAATTGTATGATGTCATAGTTAACCTTAAGTGTAAGGTGCAATGATTTTCTTTAATAGTAGTTATTAGTTCTAAAAAATAGACTGTATTTGATACATTTTTGGTTGGTTCGATTGTCGGCTTAGTTAAGCTTTTTTAAAATCATTAATTAATGTAAAATATTTTTTTGTGGGTGAAATGTAGTATCTTCAACATCTAAGTTTGAATTCCATTCATTTTTTCCAATTATTTCAAATAGAGTGCATGAGTTTCGCATTCTCAAATCTAAATAAATAATTTTGAGTGTATGTATAACATTGACTTTCTTGATGAATCAAGTAATGATACAAAAAAATATATTCTAAATCCTTAGTTGGGATTGGTAATTGGTAACACTCAAAGCATGTCAATTGTGAATTGTCAATTTCAATACCATAAATGATAAAAGTCAAAATAAAAATATTACCTAAGCATAACCTCAAATGTAGTTGTAAATTTCTTAAAAATATCATAATTACAAACTTATAATTAAAAATAGACTTTCAGTATGACTGTGTTTATATCGAGAATTGCAATAACAACCTTACGTACCGCTACAAAAGTTATTACAACAAGCTCCTTAGTTGATCTATCGCCGAGTAAAAATCTGTTTTTTTCAAAGAAAAATGAATTATTTTGTATGAGACAGCAATTATTTAGAAACTATTCCAGTGATAATATACAACCCACGTCTATGACTGTGGATAATAAGAGTTTACCTTTGAAAAAGAAGACTGTGCATAAGAAAGCAATGCTAGAAGATTTAACTAAAAAGGAAGGTCACTATTTAACTTTGGCATACGCCACAGCAAATCTGTATGATTTGAAGGCCTTGAAAGAAGGATTGGTACAGCAAAAATTGTATGAACCGGGAACGTAAGGTTTTGAAAAAGTCATTTATTTTTGTATAAAAATGATGTAACATTTCAAGTGTTTTGTGCAACGTATTAAAGTCTGTCATCATTTATAATCCATAAAAAAAGTTCGTTAGCTTTAATTTAATATTACATACATAATTAGTCATATGTATTAAGTTGTCATTCTGTTAATGATAAGAAGTGAAAATGTAGAAATTGATAAATTATACTATTTAAAAGTACATTTAAATAATCTTAATTATTTATGTTAATTTAATACAAATCTGATGTGAATGATATATTAGCAAAATAGCATCCTGTAGAAGGTGAATATTTATTTAGTATTTATGATAAAATACACATGCATACAGAGTACAGACATGCACTTCTCTGTGACTTACTTTTATAGGTGTAAAAATAATATAACTCTTTAATTTCATATCTCTTACATTTTATGAAATATGCAGTACCTGTAACGTTTACAAGGAAGAAAGTATGGTAAAAAGCAATAAAAATACTCACACACTCTTTATTTTATGTGTTAGAATTAGATATCCAAAAACTTGTATTTAAAAAAAATATATTTCTATCATAAAATGGTCAAAGTTTAATAAATATATAGGTATACTCGTAGTTAAGATATATTTTCTATTAAAAATATTTTGTTTGAGCAACATTGTTCAAATCTTTAAATTTTTGGCAGAAAGTTTTTTCTGTTTGGGAGGTGTTAAACTTAGGGTTTGTATCAAACTTAAATATACTAATTTATTTTCCAATTCTTTTATACATATAATAATTTAAGCAATTACACACATATTTTCATTCTATTTACAGACTCAAAGCACAAGAAATAGGAGATGGAGATGTAGTTGTGGCGAAACCAATGTACAGTATCGGAGACGAATCTCGGGAAATTATTTTTTTCAAGGAAGGTGCAGTTGTGTTTTGGAATTGCACTGAATTGGAAGCTAATAATGTATTACAGTTTATTAGACCGTGAGTATATAAGTATATGTAGTATTTTTCATTAATTACATAAACTAAAACCATTATTCACTTGTACAAATAATATATTATCATATTAACAAATTACCCTTGCTTTGCTTGGGTGCATTATTTATTAGGTATATTTAAAATGCTTTGTAATTTTCTAAGAATGACTCGATAGAACCAGTTATTGTATGTTCCTCTAGAAATGAAAGATTTTCTTGTAGTACAAAGGTATCTTAAATGTCGACCCGAGTAATAAGTTATAATATTACCAACACTTTTATTTACATTGCACTTTTGCATTGCAAACTTTACTTAAATTTGGTTTAATGTGTTTCTTTGGTTGCAAAAACATACAGACAAACAGGCTAATACATAAATTGACCAACAGACAAAAAAGTTTTGGGGTCTATATTCTATACACAATATGTAAGTCATTGTTTTAAAAAAAAATTTCATGAGTATATATATTTATTATTAGTATATTTACATAATATTTGTATTCATATATTATAATTTCACTTAATTTCCAGGTATGAAGTAGAAAGCTACCCTAAAGATGTGGTCAAGAAGGAGAGGGAAGTCATGACCTACCAATATCAGCCAAATGCGTAAGTTGCACTTTTTTATAAAAAAGGTCTAAAATCTAAATGCAGTTGCAGCTTTTTTATTTTATTGCCCGCGTTTATTTTTACTAGACCTGTCAGTAATGTTTGAGAAACAGTTGTTCACTCATCTTTTTAGGATTTCGTCGGAACGAATTACTAAAGCCTCTGCTGTCTGTCTGTCTGTCAGATGGCTGTATCTCATGAACCGTAATAGGTAGAGAGTTGAAATTTTTACAGTGTGTGTCTATCTATTGCCGCTATAAGAACAAATAATAAAAATGCATAAAAATAAAAAAATAAATACAAGAAACATTTTTTAACGTCCATAATCGATCATCGAAGTTAATATACTACATACATAGAGTAAAAGTCATATTAATAAAAAGTACATGTACGGTGGTACGGAACCCTTCGTGTGCGAATTCGACTCGTACTTGACCGGTTTTTTATAGTTATTTAGTATTGTTTTATATTTAATATCTTTATATATATAATTCTTCTATGAGTGTGTATGTCACTGAACTTCTCTCAAAGGACTGGACCGATTTTGATGAAATTTTTTGTGTGTGTTCAAGGGGATCTAGGAATGGTTTAGATTCACAATTTGAATAATAATTTTCATCAAAAAATTATTTAAAAAAGTTTGAAATTTTCAAATTAAAGACGTGTAGACAGGACAACGTCTGTCGGGTCCGCAAGTTAAGTTTAAAATCATCATCATTTCCCTGCCCATTTCCCAACGACTTGAGGTCGGCGCAGACATCTTCTGTACTGCTGATAGGATTTGGCAAAAGTTTTACGACCGGCCGCCTGCCTGACGTCAACCCTCCTTGGGAATAAAGTAATAATTTAAGTTTAAAATGTGATTTTAATTATTAATCTCGAAAGCCGTAGCTTAAAAAGCAGGACTTATGTTTGATATCTGTATGTAGTTCTCTGTAAAGAGCCAGAAGTGAAAAAAGTCACGCTTGAAATTTTTTTTTTATGAAATGGGGCATCGATAATGTAATCTTTTATAAAAATAAATTAATATAACTTTGATTTGTTACAGGAAAAGGTGTTATTTGCAAGAATCATGTTTTGTGTTAGTTCCAGATGCTGATAATTCATTAGAGAAGTACTCATTCAGGTAAATACATATTTATTATTTTTTAAGTATACAGGCTTCATAGTAATATTTTTTTTAATTATTCTTGCCGATTTAAATGAACTTAACTTGGAGATGTGATATAGTTGTAATTTATTATTTAGAAAGCCATTATAGCATTTTCATTATAGCATGGTGAGGCGAGTGACACTTGCCATATGAATAGGAATATATAATGAAATGCCATATGAATAGGAATATAATAAATAAATAAATAAATAAATAAATAAATAAATAAATAGGAAAGTGACATCATTCAATCAATTTTGTAGAATTTGAAAATGTTTACTTTTAATACTAATATTTTAAAATGTATGTGAATACCAAATATGTAGCAGAAAATATAGGCTTAATTTATTTATTAGTGTAATTTATGTATATGTACAATAATCACGGGAGAATTTTAGGTATATTATTATTTTACTGTGTAATATATGTATCTGTATGTATATGGTCAAATCAGAAATTTTGAGTATCTTCTCCTTTTTTAACCTCCTTTCGAAAAAAGGCAGCGCCCAAATCGGTGACCCACGCGCGCACACTTTCGTTGAAAAGTAATAGATCTGTCCATATACATATATATGTGTATCTTTTCGTATACAATAATGTGTACTGTTTTTATTGTTACTGCTTCGGTGGTGTAGTAGCTAGCATGTACGGCTGCACAGCCGGAGGTTCTGGGTTCGAGTCCCGGGTCGGGTCAAGTTTAGTTATTGAGTCTTTCTGTATATTAAGCCTCAGTAACAGCCCGGAGTTGGGAAGTTGGCGGTGTTTCACCCCCGTGCTGCAGAGCACGTGTCGCGTCGGTCTGCACCAACACTCACCGGTCGTGCCTCGTGTCGTCCCACCGGAGTATGAGAGTGAAAGGAACAGAGAGTGCACGTTGTGTCTGCGCGTACACGCGCTGCACTATAATATCTCCTGCGCAGTTGGCTAGTCTCAATGAGATAACGTTCAGGAGGACATAAGTATAACATGAGTGTACCGCACTGCAGCCACGCCATGGCGCAGTCAGCGCGGCTGGGCGCGTGGGAGGCGCGGCTGGAGGCGCTGGCGGCGGCCGTGCGCGCGCACTCCGCGCTCATGCAGAGCGAGGGCGTCACGCGCGTGGAGAAGAAGGAGGTACGCCGTCCGCTACTCACAGGGATCGGCACTTTTTAACCGACTTCCAAAAAGTCTATAATAAGTCTATGTATTTTAGTGAACCATGTATTTTATATAACTCAACTGTTCAATGCTATATATAATTTTAGTACTAAATTCTTCTATTTTATTCTTAAGAGGATTGTGAACCTGTAAATTTTTATACAAAAAGCGATAACGTTTTTCCCCCCTTAAACATAGTCTAATTTTCATAATTTTTGGAAATGTTGTAGATATAATCAAAATCTAGGTCCGTACGTTTTTATTTTTTTGAAATATTGCGTACGACAGAAGTTATTAGCATCTAAATATCTATATTTTTGACCTAAAAACTTCCTCCAGCGTTTTTATTTGTTTAAATTAAACTAAACTGAATTACAAAAAAAGGAAAACGTACAGACCTAGATTAAGGTGTACTGAATCTAATGAGACCAAAATCGTCTCATTTCGTTAATGTTTAGGGGGGTGAAAACGTTATCGCCCGAAACAATATTTCAAAAAGGAAATGTAGGTAATTGAGTCTAAGACTTGCAACTCTCTCTATCGCACCATACGGGTCGGGGGCAGGGGCATATTTTAGACTGTAGTGATGTTGAAGGTGCTATCGATATTATTATCTCCTAGGGAGGAGAAGGTAATATCGATATATCGATCGATACTGAAAGGATTCAATCCAAAGTTTAGAATTTTATTATACTCGTATGTATAGATTGTAACTAAGCCGTATCTGTACATTAAATATTTTTTGGAAAATATTATTGAAATAAACATTATTATCGATACAGAGGCCGAATCTATAGTTTTTTGAATTTTTGTCTGTCTGTCTGTATGTCTGTCTGTCTGTTACCACGTCACAGAAAAACCACTGGAGGGATTTTGATGAAATTTGGTATGGTGGTAGCTGGTTATCCGGATCAACATATTATAGCATTACCGCGGGAAAATATCTCATTTCTGAGAAAAAATACAAAACTGAATATATATATATATATATATATATATATATATATATATATATATAAATAGATATATATATATAAATATATATATATATATATATATACAGGGTCATTTTTAATTTACTGAAGACCTTTTGGGAATATACTATGTATTTACATCATAACAACAACCTCTGTAACAAGAAAAAAAAAATATTTCTTAAATTTTCATTTTCATACAAAAATAAAAATATTTTCTATATCATCATCATCATTATATCTGGCCAAGTTTGAATGAGTAAGGACCACTTCCTACACCCCTCCACCCCTCGCCCTCCACCCCTCGCCCACCACCGGTCACGCGCTTTCTTTTGCTAATTGCTGGACTATTACCGTTTAGAAGGAGCAATAAAAATACTTTTATTTTTGTAAAATTTATATTTTTAATTTTATATTCGTTATAATTTATAATATTCGTTATAATTTTATGAAAATTATTACGAATAGCATGTGTATAATTATATATATATACACATATTATTCGTTATAATTTTTTCGAAATTATCGATATTTTATTAGTTTTTGGAGTTAATTTTATTGATTTTTCTGAAAAAAATGATTTTAGGGCAATTACAGAAAGAAATGAAAATCATTCGTAATCTAATCTTGTTTATTCATTAGTTAAAAATATATTTAAAAAAATTAAGTTGATATATTTTATAAAATTTAGTCATAGATATGTTAAAAAATCGTAAATCATCATCATTCATGATCAGGTCATTTTATGAATTTCTATTCCTTATATACCTGCTAACATTATAAAATCATAAAACTTCAGGTTTTCAATAAAATAATTATTTTAACAATAAAAGGATTCCGATGGGTCTATTAGTACCTACATAAACAACAAAAAATTCTATAACTTTCAACTTTTGGAACGAGATTTTTGTAATTGATCTAAACCACCTATTTATTTTTTTATGATTTTTTGAAGTCATCAATCTAAACAAGTCAAATTTTAAATGATATTCGCCACAGAATTGTAATTTAGAGTTATTTCAGTTTATGAATAAAGGTGCGATGTAACTTGTAGGGAATGTATATTGTACGCAAACCGTTAAAATAATAAATATTAGATAAACTTTGAAATTGCTCTTGCGCCGAGTCGCGCCGCCCCCGCCCCCGCCCCCCGCAAGCGCCCGCGCGTCACCGGCTGCTGCTATCATAGTGTGTGTGAGAATTTGCGTATGTTGTATTTGTGTTGTTCACTGCCGGGGGGATGCAAAGCGGTATGAAACAGATAGCATTTTTAAAAATACCTACTCTCGCCGCGTATCGGCACTTCACAACCCTCTTAAACGGCAATAGTGTAACAGCTCAAATGAAATGTAATAAAATAAATTTTTATTCAATTATACTTGTAAAAGCACTTTTGAATCGTCAATTTAATGTAAAGAGAGAAAGAGAAAGACTCAAAGCAGTACATTTAGGATCCGTTCAAGAAAGTTAAATATACTGTAAAAATCATATGTTTATAACCAAACGACAAGCTATCTTCATATAAGGTGTCTGTACATACCAGGTAGTGCGCAAGCTTGGCGAGTTGTTCTCTCTCCGCCACCAGCTGAACGTGGAGTCCGACCTCCTGGACACGCCCGACTGCTACTGGGAGGACGAGAGGCTGGAGAGGCTTTACTCCAACACCGTCGCCTACTTCACTATCCCGAAGAGGATCAGAGTAAGTCCTCAGTAACTGGAGCCCTTTTTGAGGACCCTCTGCTGGGCACGGGTCTCCCTTCAAGGATGATCCCTTCGAGGAGGATCAGGCCATAGTCCATGACAATGGCCAAGCGTGGGCGAACTGAGCATGTGCTCAGTGCTCTGAGCTCCAGACAGCTTGCTAGGCTCTCTCCGACATGTAGGTGTTTCCTCACGAATTTTCCTTCACAGAAAGATAAGTGGTAATGTTGAAAACGATTCGCACATGAGAGGTGCGAGATCCGGAATTTTAACTCGCTATACTTAGTTTCCCAGGCGAGTACATCACTACTGGACTACCACTGCCATTGAGTATCCACACATAAATCCAAAAATATATTTTTCAATCCAGCTAGAACGGTTGAACGAATGTAGATGAATTTTGGCACAGAGATAGATTATAGTCTGGAATAGCACATAATGTTACTTATGTCCCGGAAAAATGTACCGTTCCAGTGGAATCGATTTGTTTTGTGTTTTTGATAGAGCCAGCGATCGACTATCTATTTCATACTAACCGGTAAAACAAGATTAATTTATATATTTCGTATTCTTTTCAAATCTACAAACTTAATAGTCATTACCTCAATCTCGCACGTGAATCCAACACGGACATAATAAATAAATAATAAATATGTTGGGACATTAACACACAACACCATCTAGTTCCATGGTAAGCTACGAGGCTTGTGTTATGGATACTAGATAATTGATACACACTGGAGTACAAACATTTGTACTCATCACACAAATGAATGCCTCCAGCGGGACCGGAGCCCGCGTCCGCTGGCACACTGAGTAGGGTCCGCCCCGCCCCCGCAGGTACTGAACGAGCGGCTGTCGCACTGCGTGGAGCTGCTGCAGCTGGTGTCGGCGTGGGCGGCGGACCGCCACCACGTGCGCCTCGAGTGGATGGTCATCGCGCTCATCCTGGCCGAGGTCTGCTTCGAGCTGCTGCACTGCGTGGACCGGTACCTGCTCGACAAGTGAAATATCTACTAAAGGTCTATTCAATTATTCCATGCTTTTACTGAGGTTTTCCTGCTCTTTTCGGGTCTTAAGGCTATTTCTTTTTGAACTAGTAGTTCTACCGCCATCTTGGAAAGAAAAAATCTTAGTCCTGAGAAGAACTGACGGAAGAAACTCGGCAGGACTTGATTATTTTGGATTTTTTCTCCATTCTGAGTTTAACTTAAATCTGTTTAGCTGCTATAACGTAACAAACACACAAACTTTCGCATTTAGAATATGATATGGATATTAGGATGGAGAGAAAAAAATGTTTTTTCTTAGCTTGGAGATAGAATTTGCTTATAAAAAAACAATTTTTTTGAAATAAAATAAAAAATAATTTTTTTACTCAACATTTTAAGGTGGTCCAGTAATTTTTAAAATAATTTAAATTTTTCGTTTGAATGAAAAAAAAAACGACTGATCATCTTTCTTTCATTGTAATATTGCATTATTGGAATTTAAAAAAAAAATGAAAAAATTACGTTACTTTTTTTTATTACAGTAAAAGTTGAGTGGAAAATGACTATAATCGTCAATACTTAAATGACGAATATCACGCAAAAAAAAATTTTTTCAAGCTAAAAATTGTAATTAATTATTTATTTAAAAAATGGATATGTTTTTTTCTTATGGGTACAAATTAGTAAATAAAAAGTATACTAATATGATTGCTAAACAGTTTTTTACAATAAAAATAATCGTAATATAGGTATCTTACATTGGGGTACTGTTAAAGATATAATTGTTAAGAGATTGAAGCCAAAGTCTAATATAATTGGGTTTACAATTAAGTACCATTAAGTATAAAAAAGTATAATTAAATCTATATCCACAGCACACTACATAAACACTAACACACACAGCACACTAAATAAATATATAGATGGAGCCCATCAAAATAAATGTCAAAGTCAAAAACGGTAGCTTAATTTTGCTGATTTTGCTACTACTCTCGTTTTTGCCATACATATCGTTTACTTTCTTCAAAGAATAAGGAAAATTTTATATAGATAATAGTCATTATTTTATTATTTTTGAGAATAATATTTATTAACATTTATTTACTTATCGCATTATTGAGTATTCTATTATTACTTGTATGCTATTATAAAACATTGTTTGACTTCATGTTTAGTTCTATGACACTCTGTCTATGTTATTTCTTAGTCTGAGCCTTTATACTACATGTTGCTCAACTTCAAACAAAGGTAATTCTAATATGCATATTTCAAGTTAATCTATACATATAATAAAATTGTAACTAAGCCGAATCTGTACATTAAATATTTTTTGGTAAATCTTATTGAAATAGAGTTTATTATCGCTACAGAGGCCGAATCTATAGTTTTTAGAATTTTTGTCTGTCTGTCTGTCTGTCTGTCTGTCTGTCTGTCTGTCTGTCTGTCTGTCTGTCTGTCTGTCTGTCTGTCTATTACCGCATCACAGTAAACCACTGGAGGGATTTTGATGAAATTTGGTATGGTGATAGCTGGTCGTCCGGGTCAACACATAGGATACTTTTTACCGCAGGAAAAATGTCTCATTTCTGAAAAAATATACAAGAACTGAAATGTAAGAGTATACTAATTTGTAAAACCTAAGAATTTGGTTTTGTTCATCTGAACGCGGGCGGAGCCGTGGGCAATGCTAGTCTATAATAATTAAGCATTTTTTTAGAAATAAATACTTTGTAATTTGTTAGGATAATCTGTAAAAAAATATATACAAGCAATCATCTCATACAAAATATCAATTATATCTTAATATTGGTATTAGGTTTGCCTTTTGAAGTTATATAACATGTGGAAGAATGCAAAAATTGTATTTAAAGTGTTCTATATATGATAGATGTAAGCATTGATACATATTTTGTTAATACATATTTAAATTTTTATTGTTATTATAGATAATAATAAAAATTAATAAAAATATTTTGTGTATTTATTTTGTTTTGTAAATAAGTTTACTTGCTATGTCTATCTCCTCTGTATATGTATGTTTGTCATAATGAGGGGTTTTAAAACCAATACAGTCCAATTTTCCATTAAATTAGTGAAAATCTTCTCGGATTTTTATGTGGCTATATTTTGATTTTTAGTTCCCGACGTTTCGAGTGCTATACAGCAATTATGGTCAACGGAGAGACTGGGACCGAGAATCCAAATGAATCCGCGAAATAATCAGAAAAGATAGTTTTATTTAAAAAATCAAATATTCGCGTAAATCTAAGTATCAATGAAATGAAAAGAATCAATGTACGTTGTACCAACTGTTTATAAAGCAATGTATTTTTAAGTTTTTTTCGCTTTCTTTTTTTAATCTGTTATCTTCGTTTAAACATTTAACAAACGGTTTATATGTGTTGTAGAATGTCATCAATGTACCTACCTAAGTTGTTAATGGGTCTTGGAAGAAAATTAAAAAAAAAATAAACCTTCATTTTGACACTACGCCTTCAACTAAAAATATTTTCGCGATCGATACCGGTAAATAAGTGGCGAAAAAGTAGAAAAACAACAAAAACACAATTTGGCTTATAAGAATTTCGTGAATCCTGGGAAAATAGGTTATCTGACGAAAATAAGTGTACGAAATCAGTCAGGTCGTGAGGCTTTCATTAAAAGTAACGATCGCTAATGAACAATTGTGCGTAATTAATATTAAAAGAGCCGCCTGCGTTATCGCCTCCATCTTGCGATTACATCTCAGATGTCAAGATGACCGCTTGTGACCAATAAATATGTAAGCTTTTTTAGGATAATCTAGTATTTCTTAATAACTAGCGTTTTAACGTTTCGTATAGATTTCTCAGAGATGAGATATTTTTCCGCAGTAAAAAATATCCTTTATGTTGACCCGGATAACCAACTATTATCATATCGAATTTCATCAAAATATGTCCAGTAGTTTTCTCGTGATGCGTTCCTAGACAGACAGACAAAAATTATAAAAACTATAGATTCGACCTGTGTATCGATAATAATGACTATCTCAATAAGACTTTCCAAAAAATATTTATTGTACAAATTCGACTCCGAATTTTATTACATGTATAGATAGATAAAATTTTGATATATTAGAACGCTTTAAGAATGGCGAAAGTTATTAAATTCGCCTGTTATTTTTTAATAGCAATTCCAAAAAATTTAATGAACTATATTTAATTTATATTGACTTAATTTGTGATCTTAATCTATACTATTTGTGTTCTTAATTGTAGGTCTTTCTTTTCAATATAGGGTCTTCAGAACGCGATTGTACTTATAATCTATTACTTATATTTTAACTTTACTTTTTCTTTCAAAATATATTTTTACAATCATTTATGTATGATCTAGGAGAGTGCTAAGTGACTGTACGTAAGCTGGTTGAGCAAAATAAAGTAGTATTTATAAAAAAATAACGCCTGATAAAAAAGAATAGCAAAAACAATATCTCGAGGTCGTTGCATACTCATTTGTCAAAACGATGATGAAAGAAAATAAGATATCTATTTATGAAGGAAAATCGATGTATAGGTAGTTAACCTATTATTTTAAAATATAAGAACCTATACATTGTTCGTTCGTGTTTATATTATTTTAAAACCATCAATTTTCGCATGGTTAATAAATAGTATATCAATATACACATGACACAAATATAGGTACTTTTTGCTGAGAGTATTCTAAAATTCATAATCTTATTTTTGAACGATTTCAAAAAGAAGATTTTTCAACAATTTCTTAATTTGAAAGTGCTTTTTGTGTTCGTGTTATGTGATAGGTTCTATGTTAGCATTTTTTCTACAAGAAACTCTCGAAATGAGTAGCAGTTGCTCCATATCAAATTTGAGGAAAAACCCATCTTGAACGGTGAAATTCTTAGTAGGGAATATAAAGTGATTTTGAAGTGCAATATATTGCAATTGATGTTATTCATATGTCTTCGTGTTATCATCAATTATATATCTACAAATTATATAAATAGGCAAAGACAAAACAGCACTCAGCGGCATCTTTTTCTCCTGTTTGTTAATCGGTTTTTTTTGTAATACTTTCTTAGATTTACGCGAATATTTGACATTTTAAATAAAACTATCTTTTCGGATTTTGTCGCGGATTTATTTGCATTTTTGTTTATTTTATGTTATGTTAAAATTATAAAAATGTTTAAAGTTAAAAAATATTGTAATGTAATTGATGAAATTTTAATTTTGTTATTTGTGGGTAGGCTGTCTGTAACAACTATACCTTCGAGACATCTAACACCTCAGTCTCTCCCGTGACCATGAATGCTGTAAAGCATTCGAAACGTCGGGAAAAAAATGCAAATAAATCCGCAACAAAATCCGACAAGATAGTTTTATTTAAAACGGTTTTTTTGTTTAGTAGGTAGCTATTATGAGCTTTAATGTTATAAAAAAAAAAACAGTTATTTTTTTATATATTAGATAGATAGATACTATTCATATTTATGTATGTTTTCCATCGATTATGGTCGATGTTCGAAAACTAGTTTAGTTAAAAAAATATTATGTTATTTTACATTAAAGGATATGATTAAGAGCACAATTATACAAGAAAGTGACTGGAAAAGTGGAACAAGTAATATTATGTGTTCTTTTCAAGGACTAAATACACTGATTCGTATTAAATTAAGTTGATGATCCGTTTATTCATTTTGTTTCAATATTATGTCATAACATTGTAACTACAAAGTTCCAGGTTCATGTAAACCATAGTCACCCCGTATCCCATACTTTAATGAAAATATTGCAGCTCTAAAATGTGGTTCATCCGTTAGCAAGTGTAAGTTTTTGCTCGTTAATGTTAATTGATTCATCGTTTAATTACATATTGAGACGAAGGTGAGAGTGACGTATGGCGTAATGACCTTAAATTGTTTACCAAAAAAAATGTCGCTGTCCATAATGACAAATGAACTGATTAAAAGTTAAAGATAATGTTATATTTTTTGAAATTTACATGTTA